CTTTCCTTTTTATACTCTAATATTGTACAAAACGGCATATTTTTGCATATTTCACTTAAGCAGCGATACGTTAGCTCACGACATTTTCTGCCTACGACTGATAGTCAATTACGCTCTACTTTCCGTAATTGTTACTGGCCTGCCCCGTCCCCTTTGGTTTTCCTCTTGTTTTTTACATTCCGTGATGGAGACTTTAGCTACCACTAGCGCCCTCTAGTTTAGTAGTAGCATAAAAAGGAAAATCAAGACCTTTCTAGAGATTTCCATGCCAAAAATTCCTATTCCAAGTCAGTTGGGACCGGTACATAAACATTATAGATGTTTTAGTTTAGGCCAGTATCGACAGTAACCCGGGTCACTATTGAATTGGCGAGACAAGCGAATACTTTGAAGCGACATAACTGCAAACTAAAGTGATCAGTAGTACAATTGTGTTTTATTTTTTGTGTGTGTTTAAGTTGTAATTGGTATTCGGTAATTAAAGTGTCAATTTTATTAATTAGTAAAAACTGCCGATTAGTTTTTACTGTAACAAATTCCAAGCCCGTAACAATATCATCGAGAAGTTTTAACTAGGTATAAATTCTTTTATTTTTATAGAATCAATTTTTATGTTTAAGCATACATGTTTAAACATAAAAATTGATGCGTAAAAACGCAGCCAGCTTTCTTGGTACGATACCGCGGAAAAGTAGGACTGTATTATAAATAATGTTTGTGGTTTTAGTTTTTTTTTGTTGTCTGTTATTTAGCTGACATAAGTAGTCCAAATAGTAAGTACAACTTCAACTGAGAGGTTTATCGACGGATTGAACTCGGCTGGGCTGCGTTCGGGAGATTACGACATACTCGTATCTACTCATCAGGCATACCTCAAATCTAGATTGTACAACCAGTGCGTGTTGCCAGTGATGACTTACGGATCTGAGGCATGGTCCTTCACTGGTGGCCATATGAGGAAGCTTATTGTTGCTCAGCGAGATACGGTGAGGACTATGCTCGGGGTTTCTTTGCGTGATAGACTTAAATATCCGCAGTAGAACCAGATTAGTAATTGATGAAAGAGGAGAGGGCCTATTTTAAGACAAATAGAAAATAAATTACTGCCTAAGATTGTCCACTGTTTCTGCATAGCTTGAATTCCTTTGATTCCCGAAAAGGTGATATAAAGGTTGGTGACACTATTGGGTGCTAATTTTTGAAATCCGAAAATGGATGGAGAGAAGATTCATAAGTTCCGCGTTCGATTTCGGGAATAATGACCTCGAGATTTGTATGCGAGATTAACAGTAGGTGTTCTAGATTGAACCAAACGGTGGCCTGTATGTGCGTGGTTAGTTATAACCAAAATAAAATGGCGAAGGTGGGATGTGGCCGGGTTGGTACGATGCACTTGCTATGATTTATTTTACCCAATCTGGCCGGTACTTTTCACAGGAACAAAACATGAGCTGCCAGGAAAAAAGAAACAATAAAGGACAAAAAATTATGGCTCATTAATTATATATAGGACATCATTTACCGGGGTGGGTCTTCTGACTCTCTTGGGTCATAGGCCTCGAGGCTGATAACACTGCGTTATAAGTGGACGAGTAGCGGCAGCGCATGTCTTTTTACCTTCTCGACCGTCGTCTCCACTTCCATCTAAGCGTAGCGTGCCTTTTTATTGGACGCAAAAATGACACCACATACCTAAACCCCCTGCGTGCGTGCGGAAGGGAATCGGATGGGATGGGAGAATATACCGGCTAATTACTCGCTAACTAAACATAAATGCGAAGGTATTCGTTTTCCGTGCAACACAAGGTGCTATAACATAGGAACAGTTTGTATAAGCATTTACCGCTAAGCTCATTATTTTGTTAAATTTACGGATATACATTTTTATGTTTGGAATTACTAAATTCTTATAAAAAGACAAGGTAAGAAAAATATCATTACCTCTTACTGATATTTTTATTACGCCAAGAAGCATTCAAATACGGCGTGCGAGAAGCACGTGACCCGAATAGAAAGCTTTCAAGTCACGTTTTGTTATGTGCTGGGTATCTACATATATGCATTACTTTTGTTATGTCCTCAGCGATTTTAAAACGAGCACGAAAGCGATTTTTTGATGATTTTGTTCTCTTCCTTTTAACGACTTGCGCACCATGTGTTTTTGATCGATATTTAAACTCAGTGTTGTAGCTATGTTAAATAAATTACACGTAGTTTGTCCAAAGATATAAATTTTTAATACGCTTTTATTAGCTTCGTGTGTCTCTCTATCTCTATGATTCTATATTGTATCTATTGTAGACAGTAGATTGACTAAAAAAAATTCGTATGAAGGACTGATGACAATACAACAATGATGACAATACGACCGACCACGTGCAGAAAGTTCGAGTGTGGATCTTTCCAGAAAACTCAGTTCTTCTATTCGATACTAGATGGCGCTAATGTTAGAGTTCTTGAAATATCTTGACACTCGTGTTTCTGATACTTGATACCAGATGGCGCTAGTTCCATCAACTGTGGTGCGCAACAGTATCGTGAGTTTTGGTGCGATGTGTGTTCATGAAATTTGGCGGCTGAAATTAATCCGAAAAATTCCTCAGAGCACTTCCCGTGTCTACCACGTGCTTTAAAACTGAGCAGATACAACAAAGAGGTTATTTTAGTGGTAAACGCGTAAGCTTGTATCTTCTGGGGACTGAACTAGACCAGAGATATAATAGCCCCCAGTCAGAGACTTTGTTTTACAAAAACTTGACTTCAGACATAAGTATGTTCCGGTACTCGGAGACGTTTTTCCGAGATATACTGACACGGCTGGTATACGAGGCATCACTAGTGATGTCGTCCGTATATAATATTACTAGTTTTCAACATATCGTTAATATGCAGAAAAAACAGCGTTAGTGATAACACGCAGTCCTGTGGAACACCAGCGTTAATGTGCTTGTAATCAGAGCATGCACTGTCTATTACGACCTCGATGCACCGATCACTAAGGAAACTGGTAATCCAATTGTACAATTTCTCGGGAAGCCTAAAGGAAGGGAACTTCTTAAGAAATGCTTTGTGCCAAACGCGATCGATGGCCTTCGCTACGTTCAAACTAAAGGCCAATGCCTCCCCCTTGGACTCTACTGCCTCCGCCCATTTATGAGTAAGGTAGACCAGAAAATCACTAGCTGATCGACCCGGACGAAAATCGTATTAGCAGTCACTAATCAGCTAATAATCCTCAAGGTAACTCATGAGCTGGCAGTTTATGGTGGTTTCAATTATTTTGGAGAACAAGTAGGTAATGGTGATAGATCTGTAGTAGTAGTGTAGTAGTAGAAAGAACACGTCAGCACAATGAGAGGGACTCTATCAGGCCCACTTGACTTATTGATGTGCAGGGAGACTGAGAGGAGTGTTTTGCGAACCGAGCGCTGTGTAAACCGCAAATCCAGCATGGAGTACCACACCGCGGGATGGTTGGCGGTGTATTCCCCCAGTCATCGAGAGTCAAGTTAGACGCAAAGAGAGAGATCAACTTTCTCTTTTTTCCTTTCGGAAAAATATTATAAAATTCTAATCGATGGTGGCTTCTATTTACGTCTTCTTCTTCTTCTAATCTTACTTCTATTTTTCTTCTAATCTTATGTCTATAACGTTCTCTATTAAATATGTAAGATGTAATAAGTAAGAATTTGAGACATTTCGTCACAAATGTATATCAATTTTAAAGTTAATTAAAGGTAAAGTTACTTTTACAGAATGAGCTAAATTTCAATATCAAATTATATTCCCCTTTCTCAAGTTACTAAGCTTGTAAAAATTATGTGTACAGTGATTGTATACTCTTTGCTTAACTGACATTAATCTAACATATTCAAAAACTAACTAATAATATCCACTAACCCATATAATTCCGTGGGTGTCGTCAGGAGATAGGCAGTTGCGTCTTCCCACTAACAACTAAAAATAAAAAATAAACTGCGATTGCCAACCTACCTGTCAATATGGGGAAATGACTATGAGACAATCTATGGGGTAGGCCTAGGTTCAGCAGTGCACTTTTAGTAGTCTGCAACAGAAATGGTTACGGTAACAAAGTTACTTAATGGTCAAGTAGATTTATTTTTTCAGGGGTACGGATTCGGGTGCTTTACAACACCATGGTCACGGGGGGGGGGGGGGGGGCTTAGATGTTTGACGTCCCAATGTCATAATTAGCCTGGCTATCTTCAGTTTTTGAATATTAATTTTTGGTCCGATCTATGCAGAACGAGCTTATAGTATCTTGAAATCTTGCAGTGCTATGCTTAGGTTTGGTTTTAATTTTGTTAATTATAGGATCCCAGATGAGAGCACCCGTCCATCTTCTTTATTGAAAATGTTACATTTTGTTAAAATTTTCATGTTTAATAAATAATTTTATTCTGTTATATAAAACTAGTTTTTACAGATTATAATATCGCGTATATTAACAAATTTTTATAATCCGACATTTTGAGCACTTTACAGTACTCATGGTCACGAGGGAGACTGAGGTGTTCGACGTCGCAACGTCGTAGTTAACCCGCAAGTACTCGCGCGGGGTGCTGACAGCACCTCAGAGATTTTCAAACGTAAAAATTAATGCCCATTATTTTGTTCATGAGCGTATGCGTCTTGTTAGCTTCAAATAACAATCAACCGCGACGAATCGAGGTGGGAGGGGCAGTGTGGCGATTGCACTTACAATGCAAGGACGTGTCAAAATTTGCGTGGGGTGCTCACAACACCCCGCGAGTTCTCGTGCTATACTTTTTCATAATTAATAAAACAGCAAGGTAAGTTGTTTTCAACCTTTTTTCATTAGAATTTAGTTTAAATGTATGTAAGTTGTTAAATGTATGTATTTATGTGTGAAAAAAAATAGACATAAATATTAGATATGTTTGTGTGTAAGTAGCTACTACTATTTACATTTTAATGTTTTTATTTCATTTTCTCTTGAGTTGGGAGTCTAAGCAAGCATGGTTGAGAGCTATGTTGAAAGCCGTTATGTCAATGAAGACGACGTTACAGTCGAAAGTGATGCCAGCATTGATGATGATTACGTTCAAAAATCTGATCACGATTCAAAGTTAGAGCAAAATGCTTTATCGTCAGAAGAATCTGAGGCAGAAGAAGCTGAAATTCAGCAGCGCTTCTTTTCAGCTAAGGATAAAACAACTAAGTGTTTCAAAGTAAAGGGACGACCTGCAGTAAGAACCTGTTCTCAAAATATAGTATCTGAAGCTCCAGGTCCAAAAGGTATGTCTAAGTCTTTTAAATCTTCATGATGGGAAAGCCGAAAAAAAAACAGTTGACACAAGAGTAAGTATTAAACGGCTATACAGAATGACATAAAACAAGGCATAGACAGTAGCTCCAACTAGTGAGCTATTTAGATAATTATGACAACTTACATTGTTTGGTTTATACCACTTCTAACACCTGCCCTTAAATTAAACAATCTGTAATCCAAGATTTTTTTTGTTTCAAACCTTTTCATCAGTTTCTCCTTGAGTACTTTCTTTTCTGGTGTATCTTTACTTATAATTAAAATGTCATCGACATACAAAGCTAATATATGCTGCTATTTTCATCTTAATTGATATTAAAATACAGTATATTTTCAATTGAACACTATTTCATTTGATTCTGAACGAAAATAAAGAATATTCTGAAGAATTATATTCACTCGGTTACATAGACAAAATCAAATATAACAGCCATTCGCTTTTGCGTGCCGGTGCGGTTAGTTGTGTAATCGTTGAAGTTTTGTGATTGTGATTTTATTTTATTTTTATTGATATATTTTTTATTTATATATATATATATATATAGATATATATATATATATATATATATAGTTTTTATATTATATAATAGGATGAGAACTTTCAAGGCTAAGAATTTTAGTTCAGCTCCACTAACCGATTTTGAGGAATTTATTTTGTATAAAATACATGTTTTTTTTATTTATTAGAATCATGTCGAAACGTCAGCATGACGATGCCATTACCGGGCCAAGCCGTGAGATACGCTTGTTGCCGTGCTATCCTTGCGTGGTAACGCCAGAAGGCATGGTACGCACACAAGGCGTTCCAGTGCTGTACCAAGCGACATCAAGGGACGCATTCGCGTAAGTACTTCGCAAAAAGACCAAGTTCTGCGTTTTTATATTTCCGTAAAAATATGGTATCCTAATGTGCTTTATTCTTTTTAGTCTTGGATACCTGCCTCTACCCCGACAATGGCATCGCCGTCATCGTTAGTTCCTGAGGCTGCGGGTGGTAAGAAAAGGTGTCGTCGCGCCCTGAACCTGAAAGAAATTGCGGCAATTATTCAGGACTCATGCAGCGACGGCGAAAACGATGACGATGAAGAGGACGGTGAAGGTGACATTGATATCCCGGACTTTGTTCGTCTTCGCCAAGCAGCCCGCAATTCACGAAACGTGCATGTACGGGATCAGCGAAATACGTTTTAGGATGATGACGATGAAGATTTGGTAATGTGTGATGAAATTGATAGGAGGAGTGCCGTAGAGTGTCAAAATGACAAGAATGAAGAAGAGAATGAATGGCATGTGAATGTGCAGCAAAGAGCGAGAGAGAATGAGAATGAAGAGGCATTGATGGAAGACGAAAGAACAGAGAATGAAAGAATAGAGAATGCGAATGGAAGGAGCCGCTGCACCCGTCGATACGACTTTCTTCTGGTCGGAAAATTTTACATCTTTTACGGCTCAGAAGGAAACGTATTTGCGCGTGCCCGGCCCAACTTTTTTTTCCAAGATCCCACCGTTATCTTTTGTAAAATCTGGGATCGTGAATTTATTGAGACCATTTTCAGAGAGACAAATGAATATGCATGTGAAATAATCTCTCAGCTCTCCGACCCTGATAATGGTGGTAGGATTCCAAATTACTTGGATTCCTGGACCGATACCATGGTTGAAGAGCTGTATATATATTTTGTCGTGCTAATTTATTTATCTTCTTGCTATCGTTCCAAAATTCACGAGTACTGGGACACGGGGATCTTGGAAATGCCTTCATTCCGCAAAATGATGTCGCGGACTAGATTTCTGCTACTTACCAAATTTTTGCTCTTTGTGAGTAATAAAAATTTGGTAAGTAGGTGATATGAACGCAAAGTGGAAAAAATTGCGCCGGTAGTGGACCACTGCAACCGAAAGTTTGCAAAAATGTATACACCGTCTTAGTAACTCAGCTTAGATGAGTCCTTGCTTTTATGGAAGGGTCGTTTAAGCTGGAGGCAGTGTATACGGACCAAAGCTGCTCGCTTCGGAATCAAATTCCTTTGAGCTTTGTGAGGCTGAAACCGGCTACTTGCTCCAATACCGGCTGTACACAGGCAAAAATACTGCCCTGTGTCCCGGACCCTTACATGGCTTTAATGACAAAAGCGCGAAGATTGTCTTACAGCTCATGGAGCTGAGACCTGGATACAGGGCATTTTCTCGTTATGGACAATTGTTATAACCAATTGCTCTTAACGAGATATCTTAAAAGCCGGTGTACAGATGTATTAGGTACGATAAACCGCCGGCGAAAGGGGATACTATAGGCTATAAAGGATTTGAACCCGAAGCAGCTGAAGCGTGGGGTGTCTGTAGGTGGACATTGCGGTGACATCGCGTTGGTGGCGTGGAAAGACGTCAAACTTGTCACCGTTTTGTCTACCTACCACCAACATGAGATGGTACCGGGAAGACGTGCTGGACAGGCGGTCCTGAAGCCAACAGTGGTTCAGGAGTACAACCGATACAAGGGAGGCGTAGACTTAAAAGATCAAAAGTTGTCTATGTTCTTATTAGAACGCAAAAGAAACCGGAAATGGTACAGGAAAGTGTTTAAAAGGCTATTAAACACCAGTCTTCTAAATGCTTTCATTATTTATTTGCGGAACCCCATGTATCACATGTACTCCCACCGCCAGTTTAGGCTGAAGGTCGCCGAAGGGCTATTGAGCCGATACCCACGCGTTTCCTCGGTGCCACCCAGAGTACCGAATCAACTGCAACGGCTTGTTCTTCGCTTGGAACCGGTGAATCACTTCCCTATTTATACAGAAGCTGATTCGAGGCCGGGAAAAAAACGCGCAAGCAATTGCGTTGTGTTCGGTGCACTGTTCTAAAAAACGGGTTGTGGCCACAGTTATGTGCAAATTGTGCCAAGTCCCGTTATGTTTAGGGAAATGTTGGGAGAACTACCACACCGTGGAAAATTTGTAACTGAGAAACAACTTTCTACTAGAGACTATAAATACTAATACGAAATTTTTACATTGCAGGAAGTTGTTTCTCTATACATATTTACACGGAAGAGTGATAGAACTGTGTGATTGTTGAGTGTCGTGCATGAGTAGCATCGGATGACGGGTCGCTCACTTCTCTCTAATATATATAAATATATAACACTTGTGCACCTTCCCTATTAGCAAATCACTGTAAGTTTTTTTGCTAAATAAGGGTTGTCTGGCATAAATCGCTTCTAGAGCGATAAGACCGCCTATTATACTTTGTATACAGGGTTACTGGTAACTCGACGTGTTCCCGCCAAGGCGTGATAGTTGGGGTCATAACCTATCAAATGAACCATAAAATGCATTATGCAAATTTGGACCAATTTCGAGATATTTAGGTTTAATAATTTTTTTCAAAAATCCCAAAAGTCTGATGTCAAAAATTTCTAAAAAAAACTTACAGCTGTATTATTTTCATTTTTTTTACTTAATGAAAACATGGATACTTATTTATCAATACTACAGTGTGCAAAAAGTCTCATCATTTTCGAAGTAACGCTAATAAAAGTACAACTTTTTCCAAACAGAAGATAAGTAATTAAAAATAAAAATGATTTTGTGAAAAATAATTGTATGTGATCAATTATGGAAATCATGTTAAAAACATCCCCATTTATCTAGCTACCTAATGAAGTATCAACTTTGTAGTTTGCTTATGTAGAAACAGAAAAAAAATTAAAGAATGAGGTCAGGTAGTCGAGTTCTAAACAGACAAAGGAATTTGTGTTTTATTTTTAACCAATATTAATTAAGGAAATGAAACAAAGCACTTGATTGAAATTAGCTTTATTTATTTTAACACGATTTACAAATTTTGCTCAATATGGGAGCCCCTATTCCGTATACAGACACGCATTCGTTTTCTTAATTCGCTTTTAATAACGTTTGAGGTCAATGTTCGTCTTATGTGGTTTGTCGCGTTGATAATGCGGTCTCTCATTTGATCAAGGGTCGGCACTGGCACATTGTCGCAGTAAACGATGCTCTTTATGTGCCCCCAGACATAATAATCCATCGGTGTTATGTCAGGACTCCTTGCTGGCCATGGAATTGGTCCTCCTCTGCCAATCCACCGATGTCGATAATTTTCGTCCAGCCATCGTCGCACAGTTACACGATAGTGCGCAGGACACCCATCATGTTGATACCACATGTTTTGCCTTGTGGCGAGAGGAACATCGTGTAACAATCCGGATAAGACCTCCCATAAAAATGTTTCATAATTTTCGCCGTTTAAATAGTTTGGCAGAAAATAAGGCCCAATTAAATTGTCGTTAATAATCCCCATCCAAACATTTTGTGAAAATCTTCTTTGACATTTAGAAGGTCTCTTTTTTCCAGGATATCTTTGCTCTTTTGGAGCCCAAAAATATAAATTATGGTAATTTTTAATAGCATCTTAATCGAACTTCGACTCATCAGTCCACAATATTTTTCTAATAAACATTGGATCTTCTGCATCTGCGTTCAAAATAAATCTACAAAAATCCAATCTTCTAACTGGATCTCCTTCTTCCATCACATGCACTGGTTTGTAGTGGTACGAATAAAGCCCCGCAGTATGCACAGTAGACCAGACCTTCCACTGCGATACACCTAAGCGACGAGCAACTATGTTCGTGGAAGTGGTTGGATCTTCTTGAAATTTACTCAAAATTTCTTCATCTTCCGCACGCGGTATACGGGGTATGCCACGTGGCCTGCCAGCATCACGTTGTTTCTAATTTCACACTAAATGTAAACAATAGCGTAAGTTCAAACGCACAATCTTTTACGAGCATTCCCGCAGCTCTTGATAAGATTCCGAGAAGCGATTGTTTGGGATTACCCAAAACATTGCTACTCGGAACTTGTCTACCTGACCCCTTTTTTTCAAGTTTTTTCTGTACCATTTAAGTTACAAGCTAAATTGATACTTCGTTGGGAGCTAGATAAGTAGTGATGTTTTTAACATGATTTGCACAATTGGTCACATACAATTATTTTTCACAAACTCATTTTTATTTTTAATTACTTATCTTCTGTTTGGAAAAAGTTGTACTTTTAGTAGCGTTACTTCGAAAATGATGAGACTTTTTGCACACTGTAGTATTGATAAAAAAAATACGGTGTGGCACTCGGGGACTGCCGCGGCTTTACCTATTGCATAATATTTTTGTCAACTTATGCAATTATAATTATTTATTTATGTAGTATTTTTATTTGTTTTTTTTCTTTGATATTAATTCAAGTTCCAGCAGCTATTCTACACGCATACGACTAGACGTAGACACGCACACAAACACCGAGCCGAAGTCTGCCGAACTGAAGCGACGTTACGGCGCCTCTACACGTTGGCCAAAACAGTGGCGAATGTAGTGGCCAATAGCATTGGCCAACGTGTAGACGGGGTGTTCGGGATTCATTGGTATGTATTGGAACGATGACCCACAAGTTGGCGCGAGATCCATGTGGTGTCGGTTTTTTACAAAAGATCAAAGGATTGTTGGCAGAGTTTGGTCGCCGCGTCCACACGTTGGCCGCGAGTTTAGTTTGCTACAAGCTCCCAGAGTGATTACACGCATCTGATTAAAATTTTATATTCACGCTTTGTAGGGTGGATGGCCAATTACCAGCCTTTTAGTGCCAATTTCAACTTTAAACATTCCTACTACTTTAAATAGCACGATTCAATTATTTTTAAACATTTGTTTTAATCGATAAGCTATTTATAAAAAAAATAATGAACATTTATTTACAATCAGATTATTACGAGAACAATTTTAAAATGAAAAAAAAATGAAGCACGTCGTTTATACGAGTTAGAACCATGCAGTTACGATATATTAGAAGTATAGTTGTAGCACAAATGGGTCGGTTCGACCGGGGAAGGACCACGCTCTCACAGAATATCAATGTAAAATAGTAACTTAATGATTGTGTGTTTCGTATAGTGAGTGTAGAGAAACAGA